GTGTTTTAAGATGTTGCGCAGTTTTTAAGAAAATATAACAAATAACTAGTTTTTATTATAGACAGTGAAATATCTAACAGTTAATTAAGAGGTTGCAGGCTAATTTATACGTGGCAGTGACTATTAAGTTTATTGTGGAGTGATTTTAATTTAAATGATAACGATTGAGGTTATAAAACGGTGACGCCCATACATACTTTTATGAAGAATTTCCATTTTGGATTGCTTTTTTCAGAAAATACTGATGCTAATGAAGAAATTGTGTAATATCTTGCCTTTATCTGATACTGATAGTTTACTATGTGCATTTAAAATGAACGCTGTGAGTTTTGTAGAAAAAGAAAAACCTAGGACATCATTATATCGAAGGTTTTTATTTTATAAAGCTGTTCAAGAGGAAAACGAAACAGTCGCTGATTTTATTGTTAAACTAGAAAATTTGTTAAAAAAGTGCAATTTTAGAAACTCCATGGAAGCTATAAGGGATAGGTTTATTTGTGGCCTGAAGTCTGAAAAGATACAGTCATTTTTGTTAGAACATGAAGATATAACTTTTTTCCAAGCTAAACAAATTGCTATTAAAATGGAGTCTGAAATCACTAAAAAATTAGGGCAGAAAGAGTTGGAAAAATACCAACCTGAATTAGTGAAGAAGGGAATAACTTTGAAGATAAGTAGAATAGATTTGGTGAAGGAAAAAACAGAACCAGAAAAAGTAAGGACATTATTAGATAACATTAAAACACACTTAAAAAAAGATAAAGTCGATATAAGAAAGAATAAAGTGGTATCAGAAGCAGAAAAGGCACCAGAGTTAGATAAAGAGTGTGAATTTTGTAAAACAAAAGTTTCTGTTTTTCCAACTACAGAGAAATTAGAATGCTTTGCTTGTCATATTAGAAAGAATCAATTGCCATCAAAAGTTATTGTAAAGAATAAAGTAGGATTATTAAGAGAATCAAAAACGACATTGCCCCCAGTTCTTGTTTTAAACAATTTTAGTGAAAATGAAAATAGTTCAGATACGACAGCAACAAATGGTTCAGCAGCTGTTTCATCAAATATTGAAGAGAGAAATACCTTAAATAATACACAGGTTTATACAGGTGCGAGTGTAAGTTTAATTATTGCATCTATCTGACAAAAACCTAATATTAATACTAATAGTAATATTAACTGCAACACTATTAATTATGTCTTAGACAAACTGATAAGATATTGCAAGTGAGAAAGCAAAATATTTTTTTGATATTGTTATCTGATAAGGTTGTCAATGAACAAAGTTACCATTGTTATCTTTAAATGCAGACTTCATGCATTATTTCTTTCATCCAATCATATCCAACTAGGAGGCATAGCCTGTCTGTTGGTCTGACACATAAATATAAATCCTAACAACTAAATTACATTTTCTGAAAATACCTACCTAATTAATGTATAAAATAAATTATTTGGTTTCAGGTAATAATCAGTACATCCCGATATCAGAAGTTGATATTTATTCAAAATCTTCGTCGAGCCCATGGCACAGTTCCATCTCCCCCCACAGTCAAGATAGCAATTCAAGGCCGACTCCTCCTGTCACGCCTAAGAATAACGGCATGAATGTGGTGATGACAACGGAGACAACCGGACGGAGGAACATGGGAGGCAGGAAGCCTGCAAAAACGCTCGACCTTTCGCCCGAAGAAGAGGAACGGCGAAGGATAAGACGAGAACGGAACAAAATGGCAGCTGCCAGGTGTAGAAAGAGGAGAGTCGATCATACCAACACATTAATAGCTGTAAGTTCTTTTTTTAATATGACAGGCTGCATTTTAGTAGTAAGAAACTGTGGAGAATAAAACAAAAATAAACGAAAGTTTTGTACTTTGTACATGTAGTATGGATTCTTGAGTGAAATTAATTGTAATGGGTATCAGGAGCTAGAAAGTTCCATTTATTTGGATGAAATAATTGAGAATAAAAATGTATTAAAGAACGACATTTTTTGT